CTGATTTCACCAAACGGACTGACTATTAAACATTCTATCACCCTTGGCTTCTCCGCATCCAACAATGAGGCCGAGTACGAAGCGCTATTGGCCGGTCTCAAGAGCGTGCTTCAGATGCAAGCATCCGAGCTAATGGTTTACAGTGATTCCCAACTTGTGGTTAACCAAGTTTCTGGGGTTTATGAGACAAAGGATGACAGAATGATGAAGTACCAAGCTCTGGTCAGAGACCACATCAAGCGATTTCAGGCGATCAGGGTCCAACAGATTAGCCGAGAAGAAAATGGCCGAGCAGATGAGTTGGCCGGCCTTGCTTCTATGGTCGACAGCACATCTCCCAACCCTTTTTTGATTGAATTCCTTTCGAGGCCCAGCATTGAGGAAACTAGGCAGACCGAAGTACTCTGCGTCGAGCTAAGTCCTTCTTGGATGGACCCTATCATCATCTTTCTCAGAGAACGGACCCTTCCAACCGACAAGAAGGTTAATGTTGACGTGCTCAGCTGTATCTACTACTGAGATGCCTTTGCCGGTTAGTTAAGTTAAGCAAGATGGTTAATGTTGCCGAAGTATTTTGTCCGGTTGAGGTTACTTAGCTGACCGTGCCAACACTTCAAGAAAATTGAGCTTTTTTATTGATGATAAAAATATGTATAAGAGGCGAAACAGACAGCCCGGTTACATGTGCAGAGCAAAAATAAAGAAAAACTAAGAAAACTACACTAGGGGGGAAAGGTTAGTGAATTCGTCACCAGCTTCCTCCAGGTTGATCGGTGGGCTTTGATCTCGGACACCGGTCGCAGTTTGGCCGGGCTGTTCCTGCTCTTGGCGGTCCTCTCCCTCAGCATCTGCCTCGGCTGCTCCTTCAAGTCCTTCCTCGACCTTAGCCTCCAACGCGCTGAAGACGTCGTTGGCATATGGCACGAGATAGGTCGGTAGGAAGACAGCTGGCGGAGAGGCAAACACATCAGTATCAGGACCTTGACCGAGCTGTTCGCAGGCAGTCTTCCAACCCGCTTTGAAATAGATGTCTTGGATGGCGAAGACCTGCTTCTTATTGCTGTCCTCGGCCTCCTTAAAGCCGGCGTTGTTGGCGTCTTCGCACTCCTTCTCCCTTGACTTTTTGAGCGCGTTTAGCTCGGCTTAGAGCTCATCCCGCTTTTTCTCGGCGTCGCCAAGCTGGCCGAGCAAATTGGTGTTGTCAGCGTTGGCAATTTGCAGTGAGGACTTTGCTCGGCCGAGCTCGGTCTGAAGGCTTTGGACTTGGCTGGCAGTGTCGTTTGCCTTTTTCAGCAGTCGATGGATGCGCTCCATGACCAAGTGTTGCTTCTGGATGGCTTGCAAAAAGAAAATTTGATTAGAGTGGAAACCGTGCAAACACTTGTGAAAATTTTAGTAGAAGTTTGAGACTCTTACCCTGGTCATGGACTTCACGGCCAACTTCACGGCCAACTTCACCAGCCGGGTGTCTGGGACATGGTCGTTTCCGACCACGTCGCTCGGTAGGAGAAGGGCCTTGGAGAGGTCAAAGGCGAGGAGATGTTCTTTGTCGCCCTTCACGGAGGCCGTTGCCGGGATCTCCTTACCCCGGTGCTTGAGCTGCGGTCGCCATGTCGGTGTTGGGTCTATGGTAACGGTGGGTTGCTCGGTTGTCAGCTCTTCAACCAACTCGGTAGAGGGATCTGCACGAGGTCTTTTCCCAGCCCGGCGGGCTTCTTGGTTGGCTGGGGACGCCAATGCCACCACGGCACCACTTGATTGACCGGTAGCTTGAGCGCGGGTGACGACGCTCGGTATCTCGACGGATGTTGCAATGAGGAGGTTTTTGATATGGCTTCGTTTTGCCATCTCTTCTTCCTCGGTTAACCGGATTAGGGGCACGTCCGGTAGTGTTGGGTCTGGAGGAGGTGATGGAGCACGGAGAAAGTCTGTGACTTTACTCCGGCGTGGAGCAGAGTACCGGTAGGTTGGGATGTAGCCGAGCAGCTCGTTGCAATCCCGGTGGCTATAACGGAGTACGGCCTTGATGGCTTCTTCGTTGGGATAGTGGTAGTTGGCTTGTAAGGCTTGGATTGCTGCAAAGGAAAGAAAAGTGTTAAAACATAGAATATGGAACAAAGGCAATTGACCGAGCAAGTCGGCACGGCTTACATGTGGATCCGAAATTCTTGCTGATGAACCAGCCCGGTACGTCGGCCGTTTCATAGTTGCCAGACACCCAGAAAAAGTCGTCATCGTGTAAGTCCTTGTCTAGGGTGCCAGTCACTATTTTTTCTTTGCCCGGTTGAATTTTTAAGTAATAGGCGAGGCCGTCGCCCGTATGCCCAAGTTTGTACTGTCGCAGTATCTCGGCTAAACCTAAGTTGGTCCCTAGCCGGTTATTTAGCTCGTGAATGCCGTTGATTATTCGGTAGGTGTTGGTTGATACTTGTGTGGGTGCTAGCCCAGTACGACGCAGGAATTCAGTCAGCAGAGGGTTGACCGGGAAGCGAAGGCCTCCCTCAATGATGGAAAGAACGGTGAAGGGGCACTGGTCTAATCTGCCCCAAGGGGTTGTCTCGATCTCGGCGAGCTCTAGGTGAACATCTGCCGGGATACCGTAGTCTTCCTGGAATACGGCCAAGGCAGCCGGGATGTCAACGAGGATGCAAAAGCGCTCCATGTGCAACCGGCTGGTTTAGCTCGGTTGAGGTGGTTTGACAAAGACCGGTGTCTGGATGGTTACTCGGTCTTTGAGAGCCTCTATTTGGTCAGTGGTCCCCTTGGACTCTGCAGGAAAAGGATGACAATTGTAAGTGTGAACGCGGTCGCGCAAAATGAGCTTGGCCTTAGCTCGGTCGTAGAGGATGCCAACCACCTTGGTCGATAGGATGAGTCAAGGAGCTCGGTCGCTTAAGCGGACCAGATTTTAGCCCAGTTTAGCGACCGAGTTCTCTGCCTACCCGATTTCTCCTAAGGTTTTGATAGACTGGTTATTTGCTCGATCTGAATGATTTTTTGGATCAAAAGAAGACCTAGAGCCCGGTCCGCCCCAGATCTTCAGTGTTCATCAGGGAAAATGAAGAACAGCAAGAATAGCGACGCGAATAAGGGCCAGATGAGGATTTGGGGTAGGATACGTCCTAAAATCTATAGATTTATGCCCTAATATGTGCAATACCAAGTGAAATAGTAAAAAGGGGGGCTTAAAGGACTTACCAGTTGAAGACAGTGGCTCCTCCTTCAAACACAAGCTCAGAAACGGCAAGAGAAGAATGACACGAGCTCTGGGTCGTCGAAGAGAATGGAGAGGCAAGAAGAGTAGGATGAAGGAAGCTGGGCATGCTTTTAAGGTGAAAAAACTGCCAAAAATTTGAATGCTGATGGACGCGTTGGTTGGCCGCTCGAGGACCAATCAGCCATTGACACGTGCCCCCATTAATGGCGGTGACAGAGTTGAAGGGACAGGAAGGTCAGGTGAGGCGTCGACCGAGCAAGTCAAGAGACAGGAAGGTCAGGCGAGGCGTCGATCGAGCAAGGCAAGGGACCGAGCGTGGAAATTAGCCCGGTTTGCCTCTTGCAAATTGTGAACCGATGAAGAGTTCATCCCGGTCGGAACAGGTAATCCCGGTCACGCTAGCGCGGACGGAATTAAGGGGCAATTGAGAGGGAGAAATATGATCTGGATTGAGCTATGGTAATACCGGACAAATTGTGGGCCGAACATATTTGGGCCGTGGTATCCTGGGTCCACCCAGAAGTGATTTTTGCCCGAGTATGGCAAGGGCGTGTGGAACCGAGCTACTTGACCTTGTCGGCACGAAGGCCGGTCAAGTAAGGGTTCCACGGTTTATGCGTTGCGCGGTTGGAAAGCGCGTATCTATAGCTCGGCATTGAGGTTCATGCCTGAAGCTCGGCAGGAAAGCCTTTGGTTGACCGGTATGACCAATCTCAAGCTTGGCTTCGCCGGAATACAGTCGAGCGCGGCTGGAAAGGAGCTCGGTTAATGGAGCACTTAGGCATGAAGCGCAGCATGACCGTTTACAGCCGAGATGCTGCAGCTCGGCTGCCGTGCTCCTAGTAGAGTGGGCTGGCAGTTGGGTTAGGTGATGTTCAGCAAGATTTGTGCTGACAGATGGGATAGCAGTACCACGTGTCGAGAGATCACTGGGAGTAAATTTGGAGCGTAGAAGGTATATAAGTATGTCTGCGCCCCCCATGCTAGAGATGACACAATTTGGTGAGAAAAACACTGAACACAACTCAGTCCTCTCTCTCTCTCTCTCTCTCTCTCTCTATCCCTGTGTGTGTGTCTAACTTGATCGTCGGAGGGGTTTTCCGGCCACACACCGCCGGGTAGCTCACCGCCGTTGTGCTCGCAAGTCGATCGGGCAGGCAGGAGCTTGGAAGAAAAGAGTGCGAGCTTGCCTGAATATTTACTCCCTGCACAGAAGGATATATATTTTAATATAAAAAATATGACAATATTATTTTTTTGATTAATAAGATTAATAAATTATTGATAAAAAAGACATCAAATATAATTTTAAACAAAATTTAATATAATTATACTAAAATTGTTTGGTTAATTTTATATATTTTTCAAACAAAAAGTTAATAAATATAAATAAATCTAATAACCATATTAAACAACAGGCGTGGACTTCATTACCGTATTGAACATTTTTCAAAACCCACTTGCAAACAAAACAAAACGATCATACTCGCGCTCTCAAACACTTACTCGCTACGTGGACGATGAAAAGGAGCAAGTAAGCTGTTAATTGCACTTGAGGAGTTCACGAAAAATAAGTGGGGAAAGTAAACATATTTATGACATCATCCGCGGTAGGAGATTTTTGGAAAGGACAGAATTGGAAATACTAAACAAATTAACAAAATCCGTGGTAGAGATTTTTGGAAAGGGCAGAATCGAAAATAAACAAATTAACAAAAGAAGAAGAAAATTGAATTCACATATTGCATGTAATAAAAGAGAGCTCAAAAACAGAGGAACATGACGCTTGGCTTGCTGGGGCAACCATCTTTCACCAATTGTTGCTCTTTCTCTTCACTTTACCAAGAAAAACAGAGAGAAAGTGAGAGAGAAAATCCATAACGCTCCCTTAAAAAAACCAAAACAAAACAAAAACAGTTTGTATCTATCTATCTACATGTCTATATAGAGAGAGAAAGGGGTGAGTTGTAGAGGGAGAGTGAGAGAGAGAGGGAGAGAGAGAGACGTGGGGATGGGGGAGAAAAGGCTGTGTTCATGGTGGTGTTTACCATCATCTTCTTTAAAGCTTTTTGGGCTGATTGTTCCATTGATTTTGGTTTCTGGGTTTGTGGGTTTAGTGGGTCCGAAGAACTCCAATTGGGTATTTGATTCGAACAAGTTGTATCCATGGGCATGGAATTCTGTGATTCCATCATCATCATCATCATCATCTTCTTCTTCTGCAATGTTTGTAGGACTAAAATCAAACTCAACTAGAGATTCAGTTTCAGCAAAGGAGGAGCATTTAGATGCAGTATCATCATCAGATGAGTCCATTCTTTATCGCTCTTCTCCTCCACCACTTCCTATTAATCCCATTCACAAAACCCAACCACCTGTAAGACCCTATTCCCTCTCTCTCTCCCTCTATATCTGTCTATCTATATCTATTGTATGTGCAATTTGTTTATCAGTGTTTTTTTTTTATTATAAAAAATCAAGAATTCATTTTTGTGTTCATGTGCATATAATTAAGAGAAGAGTATGAGGGGCGAAGGCCTCCACTGTGAAATATAACTGTTTGTCACAATATTTTAAAAAATATATATATTTCACTCCTTTACATTCTTTTCTTATTTTGTAGCAGAAAAAACTTTTTAACCTTGTTAGTGATTGTTCTGTGGTGTTTGATTTTTTTTAATGTATGTATATAATTTATACATTATATTATATTTATATATATGTATTTATGTATATGATGAAAAATACTGATAATAAAATTCTGACTCTATCCCTGTATATATATGTATTTTTCTTTGTGCTCTCTCTCTCTCTCTATCTATCTATATGTATGTATATATGGGCTGGGGGTTTAGGGGGTTTACTTTGTGATATGCTTGTGCAATTCCTGAAAGAAAAAAAATTGGGGTAAAAACCATGGAGATTCAGTCAATTTATATAAAATTGTTTTCTAAATACTTAATTTTTAGTTCAAGAGTTAAAATAAAATAAAATAAAAGGCAAAGAATTTGGGTGAGGCAAAATATTTAAGGAACAAGGAAAGAAGCGAAAACGAGGGCGTTTGGATTGGAAGACTGTCATCACCAATTAGTATCACCAATTCACCCCTAATTACATAAAATGGATCATATGAAGGGGTAAGCCCACACTCCTCGCTCTATCTCTCTATTGTCTCTCCCATGTCATTAGGCTAGATTAGAGATGCTATATTGGTGGGATGTAACATGGTTGAAAAAAAAAAATTATAATTCAGCCTAATCTTTTAAAAAAAATTAAATAAGTGATAAACTTTATAAATATTAATAATTAAAATTATAAACTATTCCACCAATATGTAATTATTTTATAGAATAGCCACTGACATGTAATTTTTCCATAAAAAAATTCTTCTAGAAACAAATTTAGTAAATATTATTATTTACTGTGAAGTGCTTTTTGTGTTCTTTTATTATTTATTATTTTATTTTTGGATTTTATGACAAAAAATGGCAGGCTGGATGAAGGTTGGGACGCTCTATTTGAATCCTCATTGTCTCACAATGACCTCTCTAAATTAATCTCTCTATTTGATTGATTGTGTGCTGAATAGGAGCTTCTGAAACCAGAAGATATGAGATATTTAGACAGATGATTCCTTTGATTAGATTGTACTTGGGCTTCGCTCTGCTTTTGAAAACATCAGAGAAAAATATATCATTATTATTACTTTTTTTTATTATTATTTAGAACATCATCTCTGCTGTTGCACAGTGATAAAAAGTGTTAGCATGGCATGACTAAGACTGGTGTTCAAATCTTGCTGTGTGTCAAAAGAAAAGAAAATAGAAAAAGAAAATGATTTTTTTTGTATATCAACTCAACAGGTTCAGAAGAATGAAGCGAGCTTGAATGCTACCACCATGAGTGCACCTCAAATTGTTCCTTCCACAAATGAGTCTCACACTATCCCCCTGAAGGTGGAATCGACACGAAAGCCTAGCAATTTAAATAAACTAGAAGCCAGTCTCGGACGAGTTCGTGCTGCAATAAGAGAAGCAAGAACTAATGGAAATCAAACACACGATCCTGAGTATGTTCCCGGAGGTCCAATGTATTGGAATGCCAACGCCTTTCACAGGTACCCTTTTTTAAAATTTTTATTTTTATTGTCATGCTATTCTCCATGTTTTTTTTCTAGGAAACATGTAATCCTCTACTTTTGTTATGGCTTTGGACACTGAAAGAGAAAAGTTTTCTGTTATAATCTGAGTAATTTCATGGAATGGGACCCATTGGAGTGAGTCATTCCAATAAAAGGATTCAATTAATTATAGACACCTTATGTGGATCATTTTTCAAGTTAATATGAAGCAATAATTTAAAGTTTGAAAGGATCCATCGTTTTCATTTTGTGAAAACAGTTTTTCAAAATTAATTCGTGTTTCCTATTAAAGGGATGATTTCGTAAAATTTTCTCAAAAAGAGAATTTGGAAAAAAAATTTCCAAGTGTTTTCAAGCACCAAATAAAAGAAAACGAAAATGATACTTTTACACCTTTAGTAGTACACAATGGAAAGTTAATGCAACAACTACAAATTCCCATGTTTTGAATATATACTTGGAACTCTTACCATTGCTTCTTCTTTGCCACTCAAGGAGCTACTTGGAAATGGAAAAACAATTCAAAGTATTTGTCTACGAAGAAGGAGAGCCCCCAATTTTTCACAACGGTCCATGCAAGAGCACATATGCAATGGAGGGAAATTTTATTAACCATATGGAGGTTAGCAAGTTCCGCACAAGAGATCCTGACAAAGCCCAAGTCTTCTTCCTACCATTTAGTGTGACATCGATAGTTCACTTCATTTATGTGCGTGAGTCCCATGATTGGGCTCTGATGAAACAAACAGTCAATGATTATGTCAATCTCATTGCGCAGAAATACCACTATTGGAATCGAAGCCTTGGGGCCGATCATTTCATGCTTGCTTGCCATGATTGGGTAAGGAATCGTTCTTTTGCTTGTATTACTCTTGCATTACGAAATAATATGTTGTGTACGATTTCTTTATCAACAGTGCTACTTGCATATGATTGAAACACACAAAAGTGCATAGAAAGTGCACTGTGTGATTTAGATTTATTTTAAATATAACCCATGTAATACTCAATATGAATCTTAGTTACACATTATACTGCGTGTTTTATGTGCCTGGATTTTGTGCAACTATCAATTCTTTCTATATACTGGTAAATTATACACGGTACACAAGTAGGACAACCATCTGGTTTTATCCCAATGGCTAGGATTAGTGTTCCTCATTAGGGGGTCACGTGTTCGACTTTCTATTTGCTCTAATGTACCCAAAAAAAGTATCCGAATGACTCAAAACAATGTTTTAATTTTTGGCAATGTTGTGCTGCAGGGGCCAGAGCTTTCCTCTTCCGTTCGTTACCTATACAAAAATTCCATTCGGGCTCTATGTAATGCAAACACCTCAGAAGGATTCAACCCCTCAAAAGACGTATCATTTCCAGAAATCCTTCTCCCGGATGGCACGACAAATCGCTTACTTGGAGGTCCATCCCCTTCGCAACGCCCAATCTTGGTTTTCTTTGCTGGAGGGGTCCATGGACCAATTAGGCCAATTCTTCTCGATCATTGGGAAAACAAGGACAAAGATGTCCAAGTTCACAAGTACCTTCCCAAGGGTGTTTCATATCATGGGATGATGCGAAAAAGCAAGTACTGCATTTGCGCAAGCGGTTATGAAGTAGCAAGCCCACGAATGGTTGAGGCACTCTACATGGGTTGTGTTCCAGTACTCATGAAGGACCATTACGTGGCACCATTTAGTGATGTTCTAAACTGGAAGTTGTTCTCGGTTGAGGTTTCGGTGAAGGACATTCCGAACCTTAAGACTATTTTAATGGGAATTTCTCAGAGGCAGTATATAAGGTTGCAGAGGAGAGGGCTGCAAGTAAGGAGGCACTTTGAGGTTAACTTGCCTCTGAAGCGGTTTGACGTGTTCCACATGATACTTCATTCGATCTGGCTTCGAAGACTGAATGTTCGCGTTCGTGACTTCGAAGAATCGTGAATATCGTTCGATGAATTTAATTGAACTACCTGTCACATCGGATTCGTTGAGGAAGGGGCCAAGTAAGTTGTGTAGTGGAGTAACTTGTGTTGATTTATGAAATTTGTGCAATTGTATTTATTTTTCAGAAATTAGTTTAGCATTTTAGGCAATAATGTATGATCTTCACTTATTTTGTTTTTTTTTTGGTGGAAAGAGCACTAATTATTAGATAATGCTCAGTTAAGCAACAATATTATTTCCTGTAATCTTTTTGTGTGTGTGTGTGTGTGCACGCGCCGGGAGGGAGGGGGGGGATGGAATCATTGTGTGTACTCTAGTCAATCCCATTAAAACTGATTTAGTTGGTAATGGAGTCATGTTTTGACCTAAAATTATTATCATCAACACAATTGATTAGTGGTTGGAACAATGTGATGTTTGTGATAGTTTTTCTTACAAAAATGTTTAATAGCTCTAAATTAAGAGCTCTAGGGAAGCTCTAATTTGTCTTTTTCCTCATGATGATTTGTCTTTTTCCCTTTTTTTTAACCCTTGCCAGCTATGTAGAGCTCAATTTAGTGCTCTACACCTAGTGCTCTGTATCACAGCTGTTTTTCTTGTTTATTTTCTTTTTTCCATTGAGTGATTATTGACTACTGGATATATACCGTGTCTCAAATCAGAAGTTCTCTCTTGGTGTTCAATTTATTTTGTTTGTTGCATTTTGAACTGGTAGCTTATGGCTTCATTCTATTTTTGGATTTTGTATCCTACTTCCAGTTTATGTGGTAAAAATAACAAAATATATTATTGTGAAAGTTTTGCTGATTCCATTAAGTGAGCATTGACTAAATATTGGTAACAAAGGATAATTTTCTCTAGATGTTAGAGATTTGAATAATATTCTCATTACCATATCAAGATTTATGAAAATTTTCTCTTTTTTTTTTTTTGACTTGTTATAGTGCAAAAATTCATTTTGTTTTTACCATACCATCCCATGGCACATGTTGATTTGACACGATTCTTATATCAGTTTTTGGTCATATCATAGGATTTACACTTCAAAAGCAAAATTGACTTTACCAAACTTGAAGCTGAATCTGCCAAACCTTGTGAGTTTGGAGTTTCTCTATAACATGCTCAATTATAGTTTTAACATTGTAATGACCACTAGAGTTGCCATGATTTTATAAGATGGAAATGTTATACAAATTAATGATTTAATAATTATTATTTTTATTTATGAATGTGACATACAATAATAAAATTTGGTATTTAAAACATGATCTATAATAATAATTTGAAAGTATATTACATTAATCAATAAAAAAAATATATAAAATTTATTAATTTATGTAATATTACTTGTATAAAAAGTAATTTGGCTTCGGCCACCCTATGACACAAAATAAAAAAATAAGTAATCAAGGGCGAAAAAATTATACTAATTTGGCTTTGGCCACCCTATGAGACAAAATAAAAAAAAAAAGTAATCAAAGGCGAAAAGTGAAGATATGTAGAGGAGGGTGCGAGCATGTCCTGCAGGAATCCCCATGCGAACATTTATATGCAGTTAATTAGTGGGATTTGGGATGGCTGCTGTGCAGGTGCAGAACAGTTACTGTTGTGTAGTTAAATAGGTCCATTTTGATAATTTGAACCGTTCACATTTTAGAATACATCAAGTAGAGCATACACAAGTTAATCGGATATCGTTTACCCATTCATCCACTCACATTTGTATTTATTTTAATACTTTAGATTACAATTGTTATTTACTTTTGTAAATACAAATGTGAGTGGATGAATGGGTAACGATATTCGATTAACTTAATTTTTTACAGGTATGATCTACTTGATGTATTCTAAAATGTGAACGGTTCGGATTATCAAAATGGGTCCCGAAATGGGCTCATTTGGGTACACAACCTGCACAACAACCATCCCAAATCGTAATTTAGTGACCTACTGTTTGCATGCCCTAATAATTAAATTAAGTTATGCTCTCATTGTCATTATACAAACGTTAAAACGCCATAATCAATGATTACAGTCTATGCAACGGACTGAAACTTAAATTTGGACAGATTCCTTAATATTTGAAGCTGAGCTTAAATAGAATCTCAATTTGATTGAATCTACCTAAATTACCGTGGTTGATTCAAAACATGGTCAATGTTGATTATGAATGAACCATTGCTTTATATATATATATATATATATATATGATCAAAGCTTACAATTTCATTTTTAATCGTCACGCTTATATTTACTTTTTATAATATATATATATATATATGCATGCCATCAAACAATTGAGTGCAATCTTATAATTTTTTTATCAAATATTATATTTCATAGCAAATGAGACCGTTGGCTCTTGGATATATCGATTTTTGTGTTTTCAGGGACTAAAGCGACGACGTATGGAGGAACACAGACTTAATCAACAGGATTATACAAGAACATTATTTCGTATAACAAATATAACAAATATAATTTTGCAAAAGGGAAAGAGATTGTGAAAAAAATAATTGCAAAACTAGTAAGATGGTTTGTAATTTTATCGAGAGTGATACTATTTAATGAAAAATTATTAGGTACTTCCGGACCTACTTAGGGCTGGTTTGGCAAGTTTTAAAAAAGTCAAAAAGTCAAAAAGTTAAAAAGTCACTATTCTATTTAAGTCATATTATCTTATTTAAGTCACATCACTTCTCTAATACATCACTTCTAACTCAACCCAAATTCAACCCATATTTCATAAAAAGTCAAAAAATACACTTATTTAAATCATCCCTAACAACCCCTTAATAGACCAAATAAAAGGATCATAAACATCATTTTTCAAATCCATGATTGCCAATTAACACTACCATGAGTTGAGTACTCTCATCCCCTAACAAAGGGATCTAGTGTCACTGTTGGACGTGAAGCATATTAGTGATTGTTGTGCGGCCCGTGGAACTCATTTTGGGTCATATTTTGATGATCCAAATCGTTCAAATTTTAAGAAATATCGAGAGCAATATACTTGTAAAAAATCAAGTTACACTACAAGAAATTACATATTTCCTTACCACTTTTGCCGACTAAAAAAATTTTGGTCGCAAAAAATGACATTTGGCGACCCAAAAAAAATTTCGTAGCTAAAAGTTGATACTATTACCAACAAAAGTAATTTGGTTGCAAAAAAGTATTTTTTTGCGACCAAATGAAAATATTAGTCGACAAAAATATTGACGGGAGGTGAAAATTTGAACAAGAACAGTAAAAAATTTTAGCGACTAAACAATTTAGTCGCAGATATCAAAACGACGTCGTTTTGATATCTGAATACACTGAGGGACCATGGCCAACCAACACTGTTGTAGAGGATAACTGAACTAATTCAAACCTATATTGAAAAAAAAGGCGCCTCTCAGTCGAATTCGATCACACCTCAGTCGCGCCAATCACCTTGCCTCACCATCAACGTTGTCGTCTGCCGTTCTCGCCTCTCCACCGTCAGCGCCGCCGTCTGTATTCACCATTTCTGATTCGTCTTCGCTTGGCACCGTCATCTAGGTATTTTTTTTCAACCTTCTGTCTCTCTCTGATTCGTCTTCGCCATTTCTGATTCCTCTTTCTCATACTCTTCTTGTTCTACAATGTCTTACCCACCAGGGCCCTCACCATCGCGATTTTTCGGAGCATCTTCAACTCTCCCTAAAACCAATTTGAGGTATAAATCCTCTCTCTCACTCTCACTCACTCAGTCTCTGTCTCTCCCTCTCACTCTTAATGTTTCAGTTGATGTTTGCTGCTGGGATATGTCGATAATAGGATTTCAATCTGTTGGTTGTGAAGTCCCCCAATCTGTGATGTTCCTTGGAGTGTTTTATTTCTTCTCTTTCTTTAAGTATCCCCTTTTATTTGTGAATTTCAAGCAGATTTGGGAAAAATTACAAAAAAAATTCTGGAAGGATTCACATAATAAAGAACAAGAACCTATAAGTTCATTTATTTATTTTTATTTGTAAATTATTTGACCTATGATTATTTGGTTCAGATTCATTTTATTTGGAGATATGATAAATTATTTATTGCCGTGGTAGTTTACCAAAAGATCATTATTGTTATTATCACAATAGTAGTAGGGATTTCGATTGATTTATCATTCCACCAAACTTATTTAGTGGTGGAACTCATTGTTGGGCATCTTGAAATGGAATGTGTTGAAACCCTGATTGCAAATTGATGTATCATTCTATGACTCGACAGATTAAGATAAGAGATCTTTTGGTTTATAATTGTTTGCCTTTCCAAAATTTGTGACTAGTTGGAATTGCATATTTTTGACCATTGAGTTAGTCTGTTGGGCATCTTGGTTCTGATTTGTGCCGAGGCATCTTGGAGTTTGCCGAGGAACGCCCTCTTGGCAAGTCTGGCTTACAGTGGCTCAAGATACATATGGCGAATTTCTATGCTGGTGGTGTGGACAAGTTTTCCTACGAGGGTCAAATTGCATTTACTGAGAATCATTTGGATGATATCTTCGATTCAGCAGACAGACCTCTCGAAGGAAGGCGCTGGTGGTTGGGCGCAGAGGATCCGTTTCAATGCTTGGCAACATGTATTAATCTTGCTGAAGCATTGAGAAGCTCCTCTCCAGAGACTACTATTTCATACATGCCTGTCCACCAGGTACTGTAGTCTAACCATAAACAAAAATTGATCTGGGAATTCATTACCAATATGTATCTGTGTTTTTGTGCATTTGTCTGCTCAAAAATTGAACAGGGCCTTCAGTACCAACTATTTATTCTGATTTATAAAATAGAAGAATGGAAAAAAGATATGGACAGAAGAAAAAAAAAGAATAACTTTATGCCAGCTGGATCTAGGAAATGAACATAAATTTTATAGAGCTTCGCTTCCAAGTTATCAATTGAAGTTGCTCTTAATTTAATTTATTACATTTTTAAAAGATCCTGTTTTTTATTCCGTAAGCAATGTGCTTGTAGAGAGGAAATCAATAGTATTTAAAAAAGAAAAAAGAAGCATCTATTCTGGCCTATAAAGCACGGACACGGACACACGACACGACATGGGCACAACACGGACACGTAAATACGCAAATTTTCAAAAAACAGGGGACACGACACGCTAGGGATATGTTCAATATATATAATTAATTTTATTTATTATATGTCATAAAATAATTAAAAAATCATTAAAAGTTAATCAAAAATACAAAATAATATTATTAAAATTAATAAACCCACATTATTAAAATTAACAAACCTAATAAAAAAATTATATATTGAAATAAGTGGCACAGAGTAAAAAAAAATATTAAATGAAATTAGGAAAAAAAAATAGAAGACAGAGAGAGGGAGAGAGACTACCCAACATATAAAAAAAAATAAAAGAAAGAAAAAATAAAATGAGACAGAGAGGGTGACTGAGGCAGAGAGAGAGAGACATCGACTGAGAGATCGGAGGAAAAGAAGAAGAAAATCGAACCAGAAGAAGAACGAAGAACATCGAAGCAGAAGGACGAAGAAGATCAGCGATTAGATGAGCTACGAGCGACAAGCGAGGGACAAGAAGCGACGACAGCGATGGATGAGGAGCGACGAGCGACGAGAAACGACGACCGACGACCGACTAAGTCTCTCTTCTCTTCTGTTCTCTTCATCTTCTCTCTCTTTCTCTTCTTTCTCTCTTTCTCTTTCGATTTAGGGCAGATATGGTTCCATTTTTGGTTTGTTACAAATCGACCCCAAATATGTTTTGTAAATTCTGAAATTCACCCCGAGCGTGTCCCACAAGTGTCGGAACGTGTCCGTCTTCAAAAAAAAAAAAAGAAAAAAAAGAAAAAAGGACACTATTTGGCGCGTGTCGGACACGTGTCCACCGGGTGTCCGACGTGTTGTGGGAATTGAATAATATTTATCTTAAATCAATTTTATAGAATAAAATTAAATGCAAAACAGATTCTGAAAAATTAGGTTTTACAATTCAACAAAACTATATATACATATATATAACAGAATAAGTAAAAGATGAAAGGGTTCAGAAAAAAGCCTGTGTGATTGTGAGAGGCATGTCAAAGAGCCTGTGTGATTGTGAGAGGCACGTCAAAGACATTGTCCTAAAGTCGTTATGCGCTCCCTTTGTGCAGGTTTTAACGATCACAAACGACTCCAAGATACAACCCAAAAACTTTATAGGATCTGATACAATGCACAGTTGCACCAGAAGAATTTGCCAAGAATGTATCAATTGCCCAGAAATATGAAATATAAAATACTGTAAAGAGAAGAAGGAGAGAGAGAAAACAGAGTACGTTATTCTTTCCTGAGTAAGAGTCCTATTTAAATAGGCTCTTTGGTATCTGTTTGGAACAGACACACCTTTTGATTTAAAGCCAAAAACAAATTTAAAATTCAAATAAATAAGACTATAAAAGGAAATAAATAAATAAATAATAAAATATAATAATAAATAAAAATAATTAAAGTTTTGAAGCTTTTAGGAAATCTCCAACAATCCCCCACAAGACTTAAAACTTTGTAAAACAGTCAAATATATAAATAAATAAAAATAATATGGGCAACTTTAAAACCATACAATGGGTGTAGGTGTTTTTCAAACTTGAACCTCACTTAGTGTTAACAGTTTCATTCTGAAAGAATCTTAGTGAACTAGGTCTTGAACTAAATCCTTTTACCAGAATTCAACATGTCACACATATGGTATGATACATAACTGTGGCGCGGGTTAGCACTATTAGCAGCCATGTGCTCAATCTTGATTCTCATGAGAGTTTTAGGAAATAGCCCTATTTCCACGGTTGCGGCTTCACAACGCTCTCACTTAGGTGAATCCTCCAAAGATAGAAGTGACGGATGTCTATCTTGCGAGAGTTTGCCCACCTCGGATTCATTTAGAGTAAAAACTCTTCCTTAACCATCACATTTACATCAGCACTAATATCTTAGGAATGAGCAGGAGAATATAAATAATAAGTTTAATAAAGTCTCCTTTAAAGTGCTGGAATACGAGTCACACTATACGGATTATTCCTACCCATTGAACTTCCTTCATGGGATCTCCAATCATAGAAGTTGGGTTACTTCCTTAGTTGACTCCTTATGGGCTTAGACCCATCCCCCTATCTCCATTACATGTAAAGAATTACCATGAATATGCACAATCAAAAAGAATTGAGTATCAAAATTCACATGCATGCATAATTTTAATGAGCTTCGTGATTTTGAGCATCATTTGTGCCATTCGAAGTAGGATTGGAGTCAATAATTAACATACATGCATGGTTCATGAAGATATGAAATTTTTATGAAGTTTGAATGTATAAACTTTGACCATACCAAGAAGAATGTGAAATGATTTGAGAATTAAATCATGATTTTGGACAATTGGTCTCAAATTACCTATGCTCCCATGTCATGGAATGCCTTTTCATGTTTTTGTACCAAAAATACGATTTCTAAGCCTTTGGAATCGAGTTTTGAACTTTAAACACAGTTCTGGAAATTCCAGAATTTGTTATGTCCGCTTGAGTGGGAAAAGTGCTGCTTGAGCGTAAAAATCAAGCTCTCAAAAGTTTTGCAGATGTTGGTGTCCACTCGAGCAAGAATAATTGTGCTCGAGCGCCCACTCACATGTTTTGACTCTTGGCTCGAGTAACCAAAGTCACGCTTAAGTGCAAAAATGAGGCAACCAATACTTTTGCAGGCCAAAGGGGCCTGCTCGAGCGAGAAAAGCTACACTCGAGTGGAGAACCCTATTTCTGAAATTTTGAAAAGTTATTTTATAATTCGTTTTCTAATCTCTTTCATTTCTAAGCACTCTTAGACATGCATTGAACATTGTAAATGAATTAAAGATCACGAAAGAAGCCTAAGAGTGTTAAGAAAACTAAATAATGGATTGAATGGTATCATGACCCAATGGGTTATGAATTATGTACGGTCAAGTACAAGGACGAATTAAGCACCGGAACACGGTGAGTAATAGCTTAGCAAAGATATTTTTGGTATATGCATTATTTTCTAAACGATGCCTATGTAGTAAGTTCTAAACCTTTGAAGTGATACTATGAACGAGCATTCTAATCACTCAATTCAGAATGAAATATAAAAAGCAATCAATGTATGAGTATGAAATGGGCCTAAGGCCATTCAGTATATTCAATAAGGATGTGGATTGGGCCTAAGGCCATTCTGTATGATTATTAAATGGGCCGAAGGCCGTTTGAGATAAAGAAAAAACATGGACCTAAGGTCGTTCTGGATACAAGAATGGATATAATCATAGATTCAAATGTGTGCACACAATAAATGTGTATATGAATTGGACCTAAGGTCGTTCTATAAGTATTGTATCTAAGGTCGCACTGTAAGTATTGGACTTAAGGTCGTTCTATGAGTATTGGACCTAAGGTCGTTCCATGTGTAATGTATCCAAAGTCATTCTGTGTGGAAGTTGGACCTAAGGTCATTTTGCCCTTGATGGACCTAAGGTCATTTTGTTTGTTACATGGACCCGAAGTCGTTTTGTGTTTGAGAAATGATAGAAAGGATTTGAGGTTGTTTTGCTTCATTATTGATTTTCAAACGTAATAGTGAATTATGATTATAAGAATTTTGTTCACAAACTCCTTTGCTTTGGTATTATCACTAGGCGATAGCTCACCCCTTATTTATATGTATGTAGGTGAGCAACGGGATGCCCAACCTCAACCCCAGCGAGCAATGAGAAACCAAGTTTTAAGAGGTTAACCAAGGTCGCCTCACGCAAGAGGCCTTATCTTTGTTTTACTTATCCTTTGATCTTTTGAGGTCACGCGTGACTAATTCTATACAACCTTGGTTTTGTTAATGCTAACTATCGAATGAACCTGAATGTATGTATTACATACATAGTATGAATGTTCATATGGTGTGAGTTATTATATTAATATAAGAATGTTTGGTTAAGCCATGTATGCACAGCTCATTGGACAATCTTTGCAAATTTTGCTTTCGCAGTTTGGCCCCCTATTATTAAATATGACTCAGTTTCTAACTGAGGCCGCAGGTAATCTCATGATTACCAGCCAGTTATGACTTTAATCCATAGGGGCGGGTTCGGGTCATGACAGAGTGGTATCAGAGCACGAGTAATAACTTACACACTTGTCCAAATGAGCGATAGAGTGTCTTGAAAAGACCTAAGTTGCATTCATAAGGTAAGTACATGTGTAGATTGCATTGAGAACTTACTAAATGAATTGAAGTATGCAACTATATGATATATATTATTGTTGCCTAGCCGTATGAATGTATTGTTTTGTACATGAATATTGTGTATATCTTTTGTATGAATTATGATGCAAGTCTTATTAGATAATGATGGAAACAAGAGCCGATGAGCTAGAAGAATCCTCCACTACTCAGCTAGACTGAATGGAGAGAATGATGCAAGACATGTCAGAAACGCTAAGGCAACAACAGTAGTGGCAACATCCGCAACCCCCACCTCCGGTACAACTTATATCGGATATGCAAAATGACGACCGAACAATAGCCTCAACTAAAGAATTCAAGAAAATAAAGCCACCACTATTCCACGGGGGTGTGGACCCATTGAAGGCGGAAGCTTGGGTCCTTTGTATTGAAAAGTACAATTGGCCACTTTTACGTTGGAGGATAAAGTAAGAAGGTGGTGAATGCTAATCCGTGATGATAACAAGGGCATTAATTGGGTACAGTTTCTTGCACTCTTTTATGAGAAATACTTTCCACAGTGTGTCCGTGATAGAAAGGTGAGCTAAGTTCACTGAATTGGAAAAATTTGCCCCACATATGGTTGACACCGACTGTAAAAAGGTGAGAAAGTTTGAAAGTGGTCTTCGTAATGACATACTGGAAAGGGTGAATGTGCTAAAATTGCCCACTTATGTTGATGTATTAGACCAAGCTTTGATGTCAGAAGCTAACATGGCTAATCGAGGTAAACCACCAACAGACTGGAAGGCTAAGAGGCAAGGCTTTTATTAGGAAAGAAATCATCAAAGAAACAAAACACGGGGTCTTCAAGCACTTCGGGCTTCACCAGAAATACCGCACCAACACGTACTCAATGTGGTAAGAAGCATTGCGGGGTTTGTTAACGTATTTCCGGGGCATGCTACAGATGTGGTGAAATGGGGCATATGGCAAGGGATTGCACCCAAATTGAACAGCAAAAAGGTAGGAAACCAGCTATTAGTTCAACCGGATCCATTCCAAAATCAGGTAATACTATGGGGCCTGCTACTACCAGGGACACAATGAGACAAGGGAGAGTCTTTGCACTTGTCCCAGTTGACACACGGAATACTGAAGTCGTCGTTTCAAGTGTTATCTCTATATGTAATCAGGATGCTTTTGTGTTAATTGACTTGAGATCAACACACTCCTTTGTAACTTATGCATTTGCATCTAGATTGAGTAGACCTCTAGAATCATTGCCATATTTGTTGTGTGTATCTGCTCCATTCGGGGAATCTGTGTTGTGGTATGTCGATTTTATAATATGCATATTGGGAATGCTACATTGTACGTAGATTTGTTACCCTTGGACTTTAGACATTTTGATGTAATCCTGGGTGTGGACTGGTTATCTAATTACTGTGCCACCATCGATTGTGTAACAAAAAAAGTTATATTTAGACCACCAGGACAGGAAGAAATTGTGTTTGTGGGTAGTAGGGTAGTGCCTCCACTGTATTTGATATCTACAATGAAAGCATGTAAATTGATTAGGAAAGGGTGCCAGGGTTACTTGTGTAGTGTATTATCTGAACAATCTGCGAATATTGAATTGAATAATATTTTTGTGGTCCGAGAATTTCCAGATGTATTTCCTGACAAATTGCCAGGGGGATTGGTGGATAGAGAGATAGAATTTACCATTGATGTTGTCCTGGGCACCCAGCTTATCTCAAAGACTCCATATAGAATGTCCACTGCTAAAATGAAAGAACTAAAGGAACAGTTGCAAGACTTACTAGACAAAGGATTTATATGACCAAGCACTTCGCCATGGGGCGCTCTCGTGTTGTTTGTAAAGAAGAAAGACGAAACCTTATGTTTGTGCATTGACTATCGGGAACTAAACAAGGTAACGGTCAAAAATAAATATCCATTACCCCGAATTGACAATTTATTTGATTAGTTACAGAGTTCACAAGTCTTTTCAAAAATCAATTTGAAATTTGGCTGCCATCAACTGAAGGTGAAGGCAGAAGATGTTGAGAAAACTACATTCAGAATAAGGTATGGCCACTACGAGTTTCTTGTTATGCCGTTTGGAGTGACTAACGCACCTGCAGCATTTATGGACCTTATGAACCGAATTTTCAAGACTTGTCTTGATGAATTTGTTGTGGTTTTTATCGATGATATTCTGATATATTCAAAGAATAGATTTGAACACAAACAACATCTGAGAACTGTCTTGCAAACACTTAAAGAAAAGAAATTATTTGCTAAACTTACGAAATATGAATTTTGGTTGGATGAGGTTGTTTTCTTAGGGCATGTCATCAACAGAGATGGAATTTCAGTAGACCCACAGAAGATAGAGGCAATTGTAAACTATCCTACACCAACAAAAGTAACAGAGGTTCGTTGTTTCATGGGCTTATCTGGGTACTACAGAAGGTTTGTCAAGAATTTTTAATATAACTGTGCCTCTTACCCAACTGACACGCAAAGGGAAACCATTTGAATGAAACGATGAAAGAGAATCTGCCTTCCAAGAACTAAAAACAGATTGACTATTGCACTAGTGTTAACATCGCCCACAGGTACGGAGAACTTTGTGATTTATAGTGATGCATCTTATAAAGGTCTGGGTTGTGTATTAATGTAGGACGGATGGGTAATTGCTTATGCCTCCCAACAATTGAGACCACATGAGAAGAACTACCTAACACATGACTTAGAATTGGCCGCAGTTGTATTTGCTTTGAAAACTTGGAGGCATTACCTATATGGGGCAAAATGCGAAGTCTACACAGATCATAAAAGTTTGAAGTACTTATTTACTTAGAAAGAATTGAATATGCAGAAGAGAAAATGGCTTGAACTAATAAAATATTATGATCTTCAGATTCAGTATCACCCCAGAAAAGCCAATACAGTTGCTGATGCCCTAAGTAGAAAATCAACGGGGAGTTTAGCTTGCTTACTTACTGAATAAAAAGAAATCTTGCAAGATTTTGAGAGAACCGAGATTGAAGTGGTGTTACATGAACAAGCTGGATTGATACCTTCCATTTCAACTGAGCCAGCAATAGTTACTGAAGTTAAGCAAAGGTAACGAGAAGATAAGGCCCTCAACAAATTAAACTTGTAATATAAATATTTTATTATTATTTTCCTCTTATTTTAATAGATCTTAAATCATAAAAACATGAAAGAAGCAAATAGATTTACACAGAATTTCATGCAACAAACAAACAGTTTTACATACAATAGTTTACACGGATTGCTTTTGGAAAAATATGAGGTTTCGGGGAAAAAAAAAAACGAGTCAGCAAATTAAAGAATTAATATTAATGGTATGTTAATGGGACTTTAGGATTAAATAATAAAAGTTAATCAAAACAACAATGTTCATGCCCAGTAAGATTAACAAAAGAACTAAACTATGCAAGTCAATGAAAATAGGGTTTTGTACAGACTGGTAAGAATTGAATTTATACAGAACGTAATAAATTTTTTTAAAAAACAAAATATAACGACTTTAGATTGTTATGGGAATTGAATAATATTTATCTTAAATCAATTTTATAGAATAAAATTAAATGCAAAACAGATTCTGAAAAACTAGGTTTTACAATTTAACAAAACTATATATACATATATATAACAGAATAAGTAAAAGATAAAAGGCTTCAGAAAAAAGCCTGTGTTATTGGGAGAGGCACGTCAAAGACGTTGTCCTAAAGTCATTATGCGCTCCCTCCGTGCAGGTTTTAACGATTATAAACGACTCCAAGATACAACCCAAAAACTTTATAGGATCTGATACAATGCACAGTTGCACTAGAAGAATTTGCCAAGAATGTATCAATTGCCCAGAAATATGAAATATAAAATACTGTAAAGAGAAGAAGGAGAGAGAAAACAGAGTACGCTATTCTTTCCTGAGTAAGAGTCCTATTTAAATAGGCTCTTTGGTATCTGTTTGGAACAGACACACCTTTTGATTTAAAACCAAAAACAAATTTAAAATTCAAATAAATAAGACTATAAAAGGAAATAAATAAATAAATAATAAAATATAATAATAAATAAAAATAATTAAAGTTTTGAAGCTTTTAGGAAATCTCCAACAAGTGCCTGTGTCCGACACTGGTATGGAGCCCTCCGAGAGGTGTCCGTGCTTCATAGATTCTGGCTTTTGTCACGGTTCCTACTATAATTTCAAGTCTTCAATATATTAAAGCTTCTCATTAGTGACGCTCAATGACATGTTGTATAGTTATATCGTGGCCAAATACATATTGATTGATCATCGAAGGCAAGTCGTTTTACTAATTTACTCTCTCATGTATATGTGCTTATGACACCCACACACACATCCAATCAGACAAATTTGTACATATGTGCTGTAAAATACATTTACAATTACAATTTCAATGTAATACGCTTTATGTCTATGTTTAGACAGAGTGTCCCATCCTGTCTGTTGCCAGATCATAGACTAAAGACATCAACAAGTAATGGAGATGATAGATTTTCGCTGGTTTTCTTGTTACATAATGTCGCTACTTGTGAAATTGAGAAACCATCAAGCAGATGCTACAATTTTATTGTTATTTTTATTTTTAAACATTTTGATATGTAAATACAAGTTACATTTTCTTTTTGTTGTTTTACTGAATTCTGGAATATACACCATTATCCAAACTTTAATCTAAGTTTTTTTCCCTCTATTTTTTCCTCTTCAAGGATGGTTCATGTAATGGCCTACAACACTACGCTGCCCTTGGGAGGGATAAGGTAATAAAATCTCTATCGCTTAGCTCATATGAAGTTGTTCACTTTTGGCCATGGTTGTCGTGTTCTTGTATTGTAGTGAAAAAAATTACTTTCGTTCAGTTAGGAGCAGCTGCAGTCAATCTTGTTGCAGGAGAGAAGCCTGCAGATGTTTACTCGGGGAATTGCTTCTAGGTCACAATTATCTTATGATATATATGCTTTCTTTTCTAGGTTCTTTTTCTTCCCTCTTTTTGTTGGTGTGTGTATATATATATATTATCTATTAATAAAGCAAGAAGGGAATTCGTAAGTGACATGTACATCACTACTAGCTTCCCTTAACCAATATTTGGGAGGCTGCTAATTTTCAGTTCTGTAAACTTTATAAGTGAACCATCTTGATTAAATTCTCTAGGAACATATAAGTTGGGTGTAAAGTGTGAAGAATTAGTGTTGGGATTAGAAGAGAGAGAGAGATAGATATAAAGAAGAGAAGAGAATACGATGAATAGGTTTGGGTGTATGTCAAACCCTCCACCTTAGAGCATATTTTATATTAGAACAATAGAATGTGATAATAGTATCCTGAATGCAAAATAACATAAAACATACAACAAAAAAAATACTCTGGAAAATTAATATCCCCAATAACAATGAAATGTCTGGATCCAGTCTGAACATACCCTGATCAATGTCATTTATGGTCTCTTCTTTGATTTTGAAAAACAAATTACTAACTGGAAACAAAAAAGAATAGAGGTCATGTCTTTGTTCAGGTGCTAAGTGCAGTGGATGACCAGCTTGGAGATGGATCATGGTCCTTGTGTGGAGCTCATGAATGAAAATTTCTATTGTGGTATTACATGGAGGTGCTTAGACAGATCTGATAAAGATGCCTTGGCTTGTGACATCCTCTTGAATCACAATTGTTGAAAATCTCCTCTGTAAATACTATTGATGTTCTTGCTGTGATGTAGAGTTCTTGATATTACGCGGACAGATGCAAAAAAAGATCCCGCAACTTATCAGAATGCATCGCGTGCTAGGCTTTTAATTAATCAGGTTCGATTGCTTCCCATGTTCATTTAATTCTTATGGTGTTTAATTCATGTATAAGATATCGTACTGAAAATAGATGCATTGAACTTGTTAAAGCCACAATAATTCTCTACCATTCTTAAGAATTTGGCTAATTCAGATAGGTGCTTCCCAAATTTCATTACTTTTCCTGAACCTAATTCAGTTCTATCACTGATTTCCTACCTTCGCAACTAGAAACCTTCAGGTAGATTGGAAATTGGTTAAGCAAATGGTGATGACATCAGTGTATGAAATATCACATCCAACCCCATAATCATTTCACTTTTTCTCTCACAAACATCACATCCAACCACAAAAAAACCCAACTATCTTCCCAAATATCAAAATTTTTTTATCCAATAATATCCTACAACTAAAAAAACCTACATAAAAATCCACTTCCCAAACACCCACTCAGATAGGTGCTTCCCAAATTTCATTACTTTTCCTGAACCTAATTCAGTTCTATCACTGATTTCCTACCTTCGCAACTAGAAACCTTCAGGTAGATTGGAAATTGGTTAAGCAAATGGTGATGACATCAGTGTATGGTGTGACTTATATTGGTGCCCGTGACCAAACCAAGAAGAGGCTAAAAGACCGTTGTGTCATTGAAGACGATGGTGAGTTGTTTTTAGCATCTTGTTATGCAGCAAAAGTAAGTACATACCGCTGTAGTAAATCTTTAACTTTGTTGGTTTTTGGGCTTTTTTTCCAATAAAATAACTATAATTGCGACGCAGTGGTCGACAAAGTCACACTAGCAATTTGTAATAAATGTTGGGATACCTGTTTTTTCACATTCTCAGCCTGACAATTTTTTTCCCTCTATATATTAAGGAAGGTTTAAGTAAACTGTGATTCATTGTCTGGCATACCACCTTGACCGCATTGGGTGAGATGTTTGAAGCTGCACGAAGTATCATGAGTTGGCTCGGTGACTGTGCAAAGGTCTGTTCAATTTAATTTATGATGTTTTGCTTAGTAAAATGGATATGTACAGATTGTGACCATCAATAGCTGTGAAGCTAATCCGTGTGTGCAAAAATGGGTTTAAATATGTTACATGACGATTGCGTTGTGGTGGTTGTCCAATAGGTAAAAACAAAATAACAATGCATGTGATAGGAAAATGCTGTTTAGTGTTGAGTACTGTTATGTTTTTGCTGCAGTCACAAGTCACCCCATGCAATCAGTTTGCTGCCCATTCTGTTTTTGTTGTACTCCTACTCTAATAAATTATGAATTTAAGCTCATATATGGTCACGTTTTTCGGTTATGTAATTTTATTAAGTTCAGGTGTCACATATACTCTAGAAATCTGAACTACATGTTTGCCTACCCAATATAATGGATGATGAAGTTCTGGTGATGACTGCAAACCGGTGTTAGCATGGACTTGTGTGGTGTGCGAGCGTGTGTAAGCGGGAGCTTGTGTGGTATGTTACATGTGTATCATAAACATCCACTATACCATTCTCTCTTGTACTATTTTTATATAGACTCGCGTACTGGTGTTTGGTTTGAGTTTGTGTCTAAGTGTCTGATTAATCTAATTCAATGTTCAAGGAGTGGTCATTTTGTGTATAGAAATTAGAGACTGTGGTACTCTCTTCTCAAGGTAATCACTTATTCATTCTTTTCATTTCCCTGATATCATATGCACAATGGACCATCCATTATCATATATATATGCCCATTCATGATTTACAAAGAAATCATAGGAAAAAATTGGTTTTGGTTTTGGTTTTGGTTTTGGTTTTGAGAGAGCAATCTTTTTAAGAGGCTTCCTGCGAATCATCTCCTTCCTCCTCCTCAATCCTTTAAGGACTTCTATATCTGTGTGAGAAAAGGCCATGGAAAAATCTTTTTCTTTTACTTGATTATTCTACTCCCTTCCCTTGCAATTCTCTCTCTTTGAGGGAACTGCAATGCTTGAGCAATATTGTATAATGGCATGGTATAAGAATAGGGTAATAATAAAATCTATGTAAAATAGTTTGAAAAACTGGTACTCATTCATTTGAAACCAATACATCTTTATTTGTTATTTCAAAATGTTACTACCATTTGCCAATCATTTTTTTCCCCCTAGTATATGGTAACAGGAAAAGGAAAAAGAAGAAAAAAAATATAAAAAAAATAAATAAAATTACATAATCGAAAAACACTTTTCAGAAAATTCTACTTTCTTATTTTTTGTATTTTTTTGTTTTTATTGAATTTTTTTAATATTTTAAGCAATTTTTTTTTTACTTTTTAGACAAACCTAACATAAATATACCTAAAAAGTAAAAAAATTGTAAAAAAAATCTTTCAAAAATTCATTAAATACCAAAAATACAAAAAAAAATATAAGAATTCAGTACATTTTTTGTATTTTTATGTATTTATTAATTTTTTAAAATATTTTTTCACAAATTTTTTACTTTTTAGATACATCTAAGTAAGGTGCATCTAAAAAAGTAAAAAAAAATGTTTAAAATTTAAAAAATATTCACCAAAAATAAAAAAACACGAAAACTAAAAAAGTCAGTTTTCAAAAAACTTAATCGAAAAAACTTAAACCAAGCACATCTTTTGCTATTCACGTGCAGTGGATACAATGTGAGGAAGGAAGTGTTAGAATGTGTTAGGATATTTCTTATTTTTATTCTCATTCAGTCTCTTTATTTGGTGTAATGGGCCTTTATTTAGGCCTTAACTTATGTTTATGATTTAATATAAAAGGGTATGATAAACTACTCATTCCCTAATTTTTCCTCTTCTAAAAATAACATGGTATCAGGGCAGAACTAGAAAATGAAAAAAAAAGAAAAAAAAAACATAGCCGTACCACCCCAGGCGAAGCCACAGCACCACCACCTTAGCCCGGCAGCCCCAGTCGAAGGCACCTAGGGTTCTTACAGCCCCAGTCGGAGTCACAACTCCAGTCGAAGACAGATGCGCAACCCCTAGGGCTTCACCAGCACCCTAGGGCTCGTCGACGCCTTCCTGCTCCACTCCTGGTCTGTCGTGGTTTGGAGCTCTGTGGTCTGTCTTCGTCGACATCTCTCTCTCGGTCTCTACATGTAACTCTTTCGTCTTCGTCTCTCTCTCTGTCTTCGTGGTATGTAAAGTCTCACTCTGTCTCTCTGTATGTAACTCCTCTTCTTATTCTCTCTCTGACGGTCTTCTTAAAAAAAAAAAAAAAAACAAAAAAAAAAAACCAAAAAAAAAAAATGTTCTCTTAAATTTATTTTTAAATTCATTATTATATTCTTCCATCTTTCGGGTTTGTGATTCACTCTGGGTGTGTTTGTGAGGGTTCCGTCGTAACGTCTTTATGGCCGAATTGATTGGTGAGTCTACTACTTCGTAGCCTACTACACAGGGCGCGAGTCCTGTTTTGACTACTTCGATGACCGATTCTCTCCACCCTGGCCAGAAAATCACCACCTCTCTTTTTAATGGTCAGAACTATTTAGCGTGGTAGCAGAGTTTGACTATATTTTTGAAGAGCAAAGAGAAGATGGGATATGTTGATGGGCATGTTCAGGCTCCCAGTGTCACCGATACAGGTTATGATCAGTGGGAGATTACCAATTCTCTTATCATGGGTTGGTTAATACACTCTATGGTTCCGGAGATCGGTGATGGATACTTGTCTATGGACACAGTACAGGATATTTGAGAGGCTGTGGCCAGTATGTATTCCCGCAAAGGTAATTTCTCACAAACTTTTGAGTTGCGATGCTCTATTGACTGGTCCGTTTAGGGTGAGATGACTATTCTCCAGTATTTTATTTTCCTTAGCAATGGGTGGAAGCGACTTGATCATCTTCAGGACTATAAGCTTGTCTGTCCCACAGATTCTGCTGGTTACCAGAAGTTTGTTGAACAAGTGCGGGTTTTCAAGTTTTTGGAAGGATTGAATGTGGAGTTTGATCCTATTCGGAGTTGTGTGCTTGGTATGGATGCGCTTCCTTCTCTCCAAGAAGCGTTTGCTTATGTGCAGAATGAAGAGAGTCGTCGTTCTACTATGCTTCTGGTTGCCTCTTCTAATCGATCTGTCCTAGTTTCTGCCCCCTCTCGAGATGGGGATCGTGGTTCTCATCTTTCTTCTGAGAAGG